CCCCAAAACCCCAAAACCCCAAAACCCCAAAACCCCAAAATGTTGTATAATTATTGAATTTAAACAGGAAATGATCGACAGACTCCAGGAGCTAAAAGAGAAGGCTGCCCAACTAAGTATAGAGCCTCTCAAACATGAAGATGACCTACCTGACGATGCTATAGAGAAAGACAGAGAGCTAGTTAAGGATTTCCTGCCTACCACTAAGAAGGTCATTATTAAGCTTAAAGAAATGGAGGCAAGCAACAAAACTATTATTGAACTGAAGAGAAAACAAGTGCAGGAGGTCAGAGGTGAAAAAGAAAAAGAAAATAGTGAAGAATTATCAGTTTGAGTCAGAGAAAACCAGACTCACCAGAAATATATTAAGGAATTTTTGGATAATATGCGACTTCAAGTAGCTGATGCTAGGAAAAATTTCCCCGATGAACCAGAATGAAGAGTTTTAGTGGGAATTTACTCTGCTCTGATGATCAGGTTTAGAGAGGTGCTTCGACAATTCCAAGAATCACAATTAGAGTATAAGAATGCTACTCAAGATAAAATTAAAAGGCAAATTGCCATTGTGAAGCCTGAAGCTGATGAAGAGGAAATACGAGAGCTGATGGAAGACCCAGATGCTACCTCAAAATTATTGAATGAGCAGATAGTTGGAACTGCTCATGCAAAAGTTAGAAATGCAGTAGATGATATTGACAGAAAATACCAAGATATATTGAAGCTTGAAAAAGGAGTAGAAGAGGTTTACCAATTATTCCTTGACTTGGGCACTCTTATTTCTGCTCAAGGTGAAATGCTCGATTCCATTCTGACAAATATGGAAGAGGCAAGAGACTATATTAAGGAAGGAAATAAAAGGCTTGGGAATGCTCAAAAGATTCACAAAAAGACAAGAAGTAAAATGTGCTGCATTCTTCTGATTGTCGTCATACTTTTGGTGGCTACTCTAGTCCTGGTTGGTGGAGTTAGTATTGGTGTGGCTGCTTAATACACCAAGTGGAATATCTATTTTAATTCAAATCTCTAATTCAAGCTAATGAACTATTAGAGGGGTTTTGGGGTTTTGGGGTTTTGGGGTTTTGGGG